CCCCCCACCCCAGCCTGCTAACCAAGCTGTGTGGGGAGGAGGAAGGGAGGAGCCTCCCTGTCCCTCACTTGCGCGACACTGATGGTTTCAGTGGTTTTTTTTTTGATTGGAGAGCTTGGCAATGGCGCTTTGCCATTGATCCAAGCCATCCACAGAGCTAACACAGAGTAGAGGCTGTGACAGCTCTTGCCTCACCTGCCTCCCCTAACCGCACGTCCCTGAAATCGACCCATACTGATACAATTTGGATTCATTGAATGACTGTCTACATTCTCCTTACAAGATAAGTATACGTATACTTTATATTGATACAGCTGTACATCAGTTTGGAACCCTATTGGAGGTTTCCCGTCGGGACTTCCATCTCTACCGACACGGATGACTGTCCGGGGATCAAATCCTCCAGGGTTAATCAGACACTTTATACGTCTATGGAGATATGATATGGATCATACAGTTGATTGCTGGAAGAACATTATCCTGTGAGTCCATCTATATTGGATGTGTGCAAATGGATTCTTTGACTCTCAGTATACACATGCCATATAGATCGTTTAAATGGCGGCATTATAGATCTCATGAATAATGCCGGTTGTCCACATCAGATATGTCTATCGATATGTCTACTCTATAGTGGATTTTGATGCTTGTTGGGGTCCTTATACCATATATATATATATACTATTGACTGATATATTCCCTCTTATGGGAAGCCAGGTGTAAAATAGTTTTTTCAAGCTATTTTAAGAAGTTTTTCCTGTGGATACTATATGATATTTATATTTATTACATTTTTGTATATCTTAACATATAAATTCGATTTACTGTATTTAATGGTATCAAGGTGGGATCTCCCTGTAGGGGACCTGTGGAAATAGTTATCTAATGCAAATCTGTACATTTAATAATGATGTAAACACACAGCAGAATGTTAATGTTTGCACTCAGAGGAGTGTCTTCTAGTCTAAGGGTGGGCAATTCATTTTCTCAAGGGGCCACATGAGAAACTGGGACTGTTGTGGAGGGCCGAACCAATAGGCTGAACTGCTCGATATTAACTTTATCACTTTATAAAAAGAAGTAAATTATATGGTTTTGATATGTCCCAATTAGAGTGCCCCTTACATTGTTTGTTCCCTTCAGAATGTCCCTTTATATTACTGGCCTGGCCCCACATACTGTACCTTAGTTTGATTCTTTATTAGTAGGCCAGAGGCAGGAGCTGGGAGGTGGGGCTGCAAGAGAGTACTGAAAGAGATACTCTTCTATCCTCCTGTAATCCGGATTGTGGACCGAACAGGACAGCCAAAGGGCCAGATGTGGCCTGGGGGCTGTTAAATGTCCACGTCTGTTTTAGACCCTAAAAATCCAGAGAACTTTTTTATTTCACCTGGAAATTTGGTGATGCTCGGAAGTGGA